GGTGGTCTCGTGGCCTAGAGGTTAAGGTGTTCGCCTCTCATTGAATAGGCCTCGGGTTCAAATACGGAGAATACGGACAGCGACGGAAATATTTCTTCTCTAAAATTGTCTCCTTTCTTCCCATCCTTTCCTGCTCTCTCGCAATGTGCTGTCGTCTGTTTTCGTCTCCACCTTCTGCCCCTACCCCCTCACCTCCGTTGCCCCCTACTCTTAGCTCCTGACTCTTTTTGCAGCCTTTCTACTGCTACTTCTTGGCTCCTTTTTACTGCTATCTTTCAGCCACACACCTGATCTTATGTCAGGTAAGATCTACACCTAGCCTTTTCGGACAAGGGCGAAAAATATCGGAGGTCCCGTGTGCAAGTTGCACACGTTAAAATCCCTAAGGGGTCTAAAATCGATAAGAGTAGACTTCGGCAGCCACCCAGGCAAAATTCAAAATTTCCTACCAACTGAAAATGTTTAATGCGTCCCGTGCGCTCATATTATGACCTTATTAATATGCAGTTGCGAGTGCCGTAAAACACTTACCAAAAAAAAAGAAGAAAAAAGGGAATTATTGAGAATTTGACAAATCTGCATCCGATTGATTGATTGATTGATTGGCTTGGTGTTTTACGGCTTTATCGACTCAGAATCTGCATCGGAATGGAGAAGCTTTACATCGAAACAGCGCGTCGTCTTCAAGCCTTGTCGCATAACAAGAAAGTGTGTCCTCAAAGGGTTAAACAAGAAGCTAAGGTACATGTATCTGGAATAAATATAGAGGAAATACCATCTATATTATTATGGTTAAAGTGTCTGTCGCCCCCACTTTTAACCGCAGGTAGCCACCGAGAAGGTCAAGATATGATTATGTAACGATAAATAACCATACGGCCGGTTCAGACAACTAAGGAATACTATTTATTATACAGTTCATATTACTATATAATCTTTAATGATTTCATAACCTTTCAGGCCTTAAAACACACGGAATGTCTTAATTGCAAGGAGAAAAAGAATGCAGAAAAGACGCAAGATACGTTTTCTTTCTTTTAAGACACATTCCAAACCGCACCAACGTGCCTTGACCCAAAAGACATTCATAACGCGTCCGAATTATGCAACATGCTTGCAAGGAAATCAATTCCAGACGCCTTTAAAAGAAAAGAAGACGAAAAGTTTGAACCGACCATGCAATGAGAGCATGCGCAATAGGGATCTAATTGGCAGAGGGGG